TAACTAACTTTTTTGATATATCTCCGTGTAATATATCAAACTATCGAAAAAAATCATACGGATATACATACTTCAAACATGAAGGTATCCACTTCTTCTCTGATATCTAAATCACTCAAATGATTTTCTTGCGAGACTGCTAGTAAAAGATCCAGCATGGCAAGTCGCTTTTTTCGATCTGAGTGAAACAAAAGATTATAAATATGTAATTGACATCTAATATACTTGTTATGTAACATTTGTTATTATTTCATATACCTAAATTAAGCCACGATGATTTTGTTAGAAACTTTAAAACCACAATTATAATTTTGCGTTATTAGAATGCAGTTAAAATATACATTTGAGTTACGTACATCCATGTATTTCTACGTCATCTGTTTCTATTGCATCCTTATTTGCTAAATTATGCAAATATTTATTGTTCGTGCGTTCGTGATAAAGTTTTCTTTCCGCAATAATCTAAAAATTAAGTAAATATATGAAAGAAAACATTAATTAATTTTTCTCGTAATATTGGGTTATTTCACTAATATTTTAATAATTTTTATCGGTACTTTTATAGAATATTTGTACTTAAATTTCGTGCACTATGGAGCTCACTGAATGTCGAGTAACTTGATTCTTACGTACTTTTTCAGTGAATTCATGCAAGTTCTTTAGTATCTTCTTTTGCAACCTTCCCGCGGACGTCAACGAGTATAACGCATCGATTAGTAGCCAGGGCCTAAATATTCTAAACAGCATAATTATGTAACGACACAAATAAATCTGAGAAAATTGTGATATTAGTAATTACACCTGAAAGGAATATTTAAATAAATAATAAATAAATAAAATTAAGAACTGTGAGTATGTCAAAAGATGTACATTTGTCGTATTCTTTTTCCTATAACTTTTTTTCTCTCTACAAATTGTCAGTCTAATACTGCAATTATTAATTACCTATAAACACAAAGTTGAGTCATTCGGCGAACGTCCTGTCGATATTTTGCTTGGGCTGCACCGAAGTTATGCAGAGAAATTCCCATGGCAGTTTCTATAAACACAGACAATTGTTAGATATATACTGAACAAGCTATCTATACAATTATAAATGTACGATGACTTACCGCATATTGCGTTTAGTGTGTGTTCAGAAACAAACGGTATTACATCTATTTCAACCATTCCACCAATATTCTTTAATTTGAGTGTCATGCGTTCACTTTCCTCCAATAAAATATCAATAAATTGTTGCAATATATTGAAATGAAATGTAGACGTTAACATCCTCCGTCGTGAATGCCACTTCGCCCCTAAAAGAAAAATAAGATTATGATTTACTTCATTTCTCATGTCATTTACAACTGGAATATTGTCGCAAAACGTGTAATAACGCTATGAAATGAGGAAAGTAATACTAAATAAATAATTTTTGCATATAATTAGTTGCCTTCACTTTCTTTCAGTTTATCATTTAATTAATTTTTATATGACATTTAAAGTATATGTATTTCTTAAGCTCATAAGTGTAAAAAATATTTTCTGATGTAAGATTGTTTTTTATAATCTTATAATGAAACGTTGTCACAATATTATTGCAATATTGCTGTATGGAATATTATTACGTTATTACTGTGCTATATGGAAAACTATATTTTAACAGAATTGTTCTGAAAAACTTTTTTTATCAGACATGTGAGTTATTTTCAAGAATTTCTTATCACACTCTCAGGAAATTATAAGCCCAAAAGAAATCAATTGATACTGATACTTGAATTTTATACTTATATACATCTGTGTGCTTAGAGTTATATCTTTGTTTTGGGGAGTGAACTTAATTGTATTCATATACTTCTATGTGCTTATAGTTATATCTTTGTTTTGGGGAGTGAATTTAATTATTATATCCATATTGTTACAATTCATGTTGTTACGTTCATATTTTCAATAACGTAAAACATACTGTAGGATTATAACATTAATTTTATTGCGTTACCTGTGCTAGTAAGAAGTCCGGTGTTTAACCAAGGATGCAAAACTTTATATATAAAGCCTTTCTTGATATGCTTCGAATTGTTTAATATTGCCTGAAATCACAGAAGGAGATTGTCTGCAATATCAGTTCATTATAACATTGAAATTCACACACAATTAAATAATTGTTTTACGAGTAATTTAAAGTACCGCCTCATTTCTGAGGAACTATATTTTGGAAAGTTAACTTTTTCCGTTTCATGTAGAGAACGACACAATGACATATAAATAACAATTCGAAAAGTTTCTGAATTGCATGCTCAATGATATGTAATCATTTTACGAATAATTCTTCAACACATATACGGTGTGTGTATTGTATATATGTATATATATATGTACATATATTTGGTGGCCCACGTAAAGTGTTACAAGCTAATAACTCTAAACATATTTGTCCTATCAAAAAGTTGTTTATGAGAAAGTTTCACATATTCGAGGGGCCTTTCTAGCTACGTAAACAAAAATCTACTTCCGGTTCCCCTTGAGGAGGGGCGGGGAGTAACTTCAAAGTTTCAAATGGGACTCCCTATTATACATATGTTACATATTTGGATTCTACAGGAAAAAACAAGTAAACTTTATCTGAAACATTTCTTTGGAAAATGCTCCTATCAAAAGTTATAAACATTTAAACTTTAATGAAGAGTGCATTAGTGATAAATGAAATAAGATTCATAGTTTTTCTGTTTCATTTTATTTTATTAAATGTTCGAACAGTTAACCATTAACACCTAAACACTTATTAATTCTTTGATAGGAGAATTTTCCAAAGAAATGTTTCAGACAAAGTTTACTTGTTTTTTCCCGTCGAATCGAAATATGTAACATTGTATAGGAGGTCCCATTTGAAACTTTGAAGTTACCCCCCGCCCCTCTTCAAGGGAAAACGGAAGTGGATTTTTGTTTAGTAGCTAGAAAGGCTCTTCGAATATATGAAATTTTCTCATGAACAACTTTTTGATAGGACAAATATGTTTAGAGTTATTAGCTTGTAACACTTTACGTAGGCTACTCTGTATATAAATACACACACACACACACACACACATATATATATATTATGTCTGTTTTTTATTTTATTTTTAAATCTTTCTTTACTTTTAAATACCTCGAGATCATCTGGATGACGGATAGATATTAAGGGTATAGAGAACATCCACAGTTTAAAAACAGGATAATATTTATCCATTAGGGAATGCATATGCAACCATAGTTCTTCTGTAAGACATGAAAATATATTATAAATAATGATACATAAGAAATGAACGTTGTTGCTATTCTTTTTGAGTACTATACTGCTACCGTATTTAAGCCGAACGTGGCAATAAATTAAAGAAATGTCTTACGAACATCTTATTTTACACGTTTTATTTGAAACTTCTTAAAGATTTCTTTATTCAGATATCTTTATATAACATCTATTGAATAATACTCTCTTGTAAGACTAACAAGTAACACTACCTAACTGACACTCACCGATTCAAATGAATCTTAACATACTTATTAAACACCTAAAAATATTGAACACGTGTTTTTTGTTTCTGCTAAATACGCATTTTAAGGGTAGAAATCACCCCTCAATCC